AACCCTCGCCAGACATACCTTCCATTGTTCAGACAGTCTTACACAATACACATTACATGCAATCCCTGAAGAAATACCCGTGATCGCCACTTTCTAAGAAAATATTGATTAGTCCTACACCAGCTAGTTAATAAATGTACGAGTTGATTGGTTGTTTTAACACAAACATAACAAAACCAAAAAGGAAATGTGAATAGCTGCATTATGCTGACACGGGAAACAGATTCTCTTTCATTTGCAAAAAAGAAGAAGAAGAAAACGCCCAGTGACCACGTATAAAAACGTAACAGCAGAACGATACGAGCACTCACACCTCCGTCGGGGGTCGAGTATTCACAAAATCCAGCAGCGCCCTAGCCAAGTCCTGCGCTCCGCTCTTCATGTTGAACATGGAGACGGGGCACCGCTCGATGTACGGCACACAACCGGCGGTGCCTGCCTCCCAGCCCCTCCTCTCGGCCTCCAGTAGGGGGGCCAGCTGGACGGCCGAGGCGCCGGAGGTGACGGGCTCACGGGACGGCGACAGGGTCAGAGTGACCAGGTCACCGAGCAGGCCGTCAGAGTGGCGCGGGGCGGCCGCCGTCTGCCGGGGGGGGGGGGAGGGGGGTCAGTGCAGTCAGGTCAGTAGGGAGGGGAGGGGACAGCGTCAGAGTGACCAGGTCACCGAGCAGGCCGTCAGAGTGGCGCGGGGCGGCCGCCGTCTGTGGGGGGAGGGGAGAGGAGGCGAGTCATTAGCCGTCAATATGGAGGGGTCAAGGGGTTGTCAGTGCAGTCAGGTGTATGGGGACGGGACAGGGGACACTGTCAGTGTGATCAGGTCACCGAGCAGGCCGTCAGAGTGGCGCGGGGCGGCCGCCGTCTGCCGAGAGGAGAACAGGCGGGTCAGTGAAGTCAGGTCAGTATTCCGGGGGACAGGGGATTGTCAGTGCAGTCAGGTGTATGGGGACGGGACAGGGGACACGGTCAGTGTGATCAGGTCACCGAGAAGGCCGTCAGAGTGGCGTGGGGCGGCCGCCGTCTGCCGGGGGGAGAGGGGGCGGGTCAGTGCAGTCAGGTCAGTATTCCGGGGGACGGGGGGAGGGTCAGTGCAGTCAGGTCAGTAGGGAGGGGAGGTGACAGGGTCAGAGTGGCGCGGGGCGGCCGCCGTCTGCCGGGGGGAGGGGACAGGGGTGGGGTTCATCAGCCGTCTATAGGGGGTCAGGGGACGGTGACAAGGGTCAGCGTGACCAGGGCCCAATCTTACCAACGCGGTGAATAGGATCTAGCAGCACTGGCTGAAGTTACCGCTACCGGCAATCTTATGAAATGTATTCTTTTACGTCCACCTAATCTCGCCGAATGTGTTTAACCCTCGCCCTGGCAGGACCTTTTTCATAACACGGCCTGGCAGGGGGGGGGGGGGTCGATGCGACCCCCCCCCCCTCGCGATTGGCTCCTATGGCACCTAGAAACACCAAATTTGGTAGGTAGGTGGGCCCCCTGGAGTTCTCGTCCCTGTGCAAAGTTGGTTGCTCTAGGTCAATATTTAGGGGGGTTTTGGGGGGTATAAATGTAAAAATTTCGCTAAAAACAGGTCAAAAGTTTTTCGCTTATAACTTTTGATCTAATTAAGATAGAGCAAAAAGAAAAGCACCAGTGAACTCAGCACGTCAAGGCGCGTCGAATGATATACTTGTTAGCTTGCTTAAGTGTACTTAAAGTTTTTCTGAAATTTTTAAGTAAACTTAAATTAATAAATTAAGTTCAAGTTAACCAAATTGCATCATATCGCATATCATTCGATTCGGCTGATCACCAGGAACACAATGATACCATTTTTTAAGCTCTAGCGTCATTATGTGCCAAGTTATTGGCAAAAACGTCATTTGACCTCAGTTGACCTCATTTGACCTGACCCATGGATAAGTACACCAAACAAAGAAGCACCAAGTGACCTGCTGTTAAGTACCGTGGTTTCAAAGCACAAAAGTGATAGAACGAAGCGGATATCTCCAGTATTTTCCGAATTTAGTATTTTCCCATAGGCTTAAAATTACGACGTAATGACCTCTAACTGACCTCAGGTCAGTGACCTCAAAAAAGCCGGACTATATGTTATACAACTCGGTGAACTTAGCACATCCTGAAAGTTTGAAGGAAATCAGTAAAAAAATGTGAGTTGGACAGGTGCAAAAAGAAAATTGAAATTTGACCATGACCTTGCACCGGTTTTTCTGACCTGGTGACCTGACCCAAGGTCACCCGGACCTGAAATTTTCAGGTCATATGTAAAAAGGTTGCTCCATAGGCTGTGCAAAATTTGGCGGCGCTGAGCGCCACCGTTTTTACGCTATCTTCGAAAAACCTTAGGGGGTGGGTCGCATCGACCCCCCCTGCCAGGGCGAGGGTTAATGGCGTGAACGATTATGAATATTGCCTGAATGAATGAATGAATGAATGAATGAATGAATGAATGAATGAATGAATGAATGAATGAATGAATGAATGAATGAATGAATGTTGAATAATTATGCATGCTACCAAATGCCGTGAATGTGCATTCACGGCATTTGGTAAGAATAGACCCAGGTCACTGACGAAGACCGTCTGAGTGGCGAGGAAGAGGGGCGGGGTCAGTGAAGTAAGGCCTGCAAGGAAGGGGTGAGGGGCAGAGACGGGTCAGCGTGACTGTCAGTGAAGTCAGGTCTGTTAGAAGGGGGGAATTCATGGTACGAGAAGGATTAGGAGAAGACGGAAAAGAATTCATGGCAATCTGAGGTCCACTCATCAGCTTCTCCGCATAACCTGCTTAGAAACACATGGCTCATAATGGCTTGTCAGTTGTCTAATTTACTTTTGGTTTTACATAAATGTTACTCATACGTAAAATAATTCATGCGTTTCACGGATTACTTCGTACCGACGGGGGGGGGGAGGTGTGGATGACCGCCCTCCCCTGAGATCTCGAGAACGAAGCAAGATAGCGACAAGCGGTAAACGGCATCGGATAGGCACGGTCAAGGTCTACAATTTTTATTCAGGTCATTTTCAGGTCAGGTCAAAGATGACGTCACAGGGGTCGAAAAAGTCAAAATGGCGGCGCTAGATATGGAGACAGTTTTTCTCGAACTTTCGAATTAGTCAAGATAGGAACAAACAAAGGGCATCATCGTGATCCTCTCGTCAATCCGCATCGAATGATATATATGTTGACCTCGAAAGGTCAAGGTCAAAGGTTGACCTCAGGTCACGTGACCTCGAGGTCATCATGTATATCATTCGATGCGTCTTGACGAGCTGAACACAATGAGACCATCCGCGCGGCTGTATCTTGTTCCTGTACGAAGTTATTGGCAAAAAACCTTTGGTGACCTTTGATGACGTCACATGACCTTACAGCTGCCCAACAGCAAAACTGACCTCAAGGTAGTGAAGGTGATCGTATAATGAAGTCATGTATGGTATATGGGGCCATTCCGACCCGTTTTAGTGGTAAAAACAGGGAGTTGATTTTTCCCCCATTGACTTATAATGGGGAGGTCGCGAAATTGACCTGACCTTAGGTCACCGATATCAAAATTCCGAGATAAACAAATTGTAGCTAAAATAGAATAGTTTTACTAATTACCTAATAACATCCTGCGACTTTCAAAGGCCTCCGACATCTACTGCAGCTCTGGCACGGTGACAAAGTTGCAAAAAAGTGACTTGAGGTTGGGTCATTCAAAGTGACCTGGTGACCTGACCTTAAAAGTTAGGAGGTTCAAACTTGCACACCATGTGTAAAATTGATGATGAAACAGTCGTACCAAATTTTGCGGCGCTACGCGCCGCGGTTTTCCCGCTATTCGCGAAAAATCTCAGGGGGGCGGATATCCGCCCCCCCGTCGGTGCGCGTGTTATGAATTGAGTCCATCTCACGAATGGAACCCATCTAATGGATTTGACTCATCTCATTAACTGAACTCATCTGATGGATCTAACTCACCTCACAGACGGCCCTCTGCAGGCAGGCGGTGCCGTCCAGGCCAAACTGGGCGAACGCGGCGCGGATAGACGAGAACACAGATGACCTCTCCATCAGCTGGCGCGCCTGTCTACCCGTGGCCCCCGCCGGAGGCGTGTACTGGAACTCGAGCCGCGACTGAAGGCGCATCCGGCCCGACTCGTCCGAGTTCCACAGGTTGAACAGGATCTTGGGCTCCAGCGCCATCGCGAACCCGTCCGGTAGACGAAGCTGGCGCTCCTGAGACGCTGGGAACGGGCTGGAGCCGCAGCACCTCGGCTCCGGGGATGCTGAGACAATGGCGGTGCTCAAGGCGAGGTAGATGCATACTGATAAACGCATGATGAAGGAAGGCTCCGATGACGATAAAAGAACTCAATGCAGATGGCCTCAGTTTTCGACTTTTTGTTTTTCCCCAGCAGACTAGCGCAGAAAAACCCGTCAGCTGAGTCGGACTTCTTCAAGCAATTAACGGAGAGCTGTGCGGAATCTGTCCGAAATAGTTTATTAAAGTGTCAACTCTTGCCTGTCTTGATACTGTCCGGTGCGATCCTCAGTGCCCTTCTCCGTCCTCTCTCGTCTTCTGCCGTTTGCCGTCCGTCTTCCACCGTCCACCGACCGTCCACCGTCAACCGTCCACCGTCTGCCGTTCACTTCTGCCGTCCACCGTCCACCGTGCGCCGTCCGCCGCTCTGAGATCGGTCGCGGCCCGACAGTGACTGTAGTGGGAGCCGACAGTGGCCGCCTGTTTTGACCTGCCGGTGACAGGGCACGGCGGCCCCTGTTTCTCCGTGATTGATCGTGTGTTGTCGTCCCCAGTCGCGGCCCCAGCGCCACCCGCGCCGTCGCCGACACATTATGCTAATACGGGAGGCGGAAGGGTTGGCGGACTCATGTTCTGCCGTTGGTCCAACGACTGCACCCTAGGGAGAACGGCATATTTTCCGCGAGTGGATGAATGCTGGTGGGCCCCGATCGGCATGGTCACCGGTCCAGTAACCCATTAACAATGGTAGGGCGCAGACAGCAAAAAAGAGATGACTGGCAACTCATGAGTTTCGTCAGATTTCTCCCGGCTGGTCCATCGCGACAAGTCAAATAGGGAAATACATTTGATGGGACTCACTTATTTTAGCTATTCTGGCCTTTAGATAAATTACTTTACCTGGGATGATTGATGCATTTACTCAAATCTAGACTGGGCGTACCCACCTATGCCAACCACTAACCATTCACCATCAAGCATATGTTTCACATGTGTCATGCATCGGAAACTAAGAGAATGGCCACAGATTGCGCGCTGGATTCTCTTTCAAACCTAAAAGCGCTTCTCGAAACTCCTATCCTGCCCCGTCCATAGAGATCGTATAGGTAAGTACATCGTAAAGGTCAGAAAACACGTTATTTGTGACAGAGCTAAGTCACACGAATATTCTTTATGCCAACCAAATCATTATTTGATTTTTCATCACAGAAGTTCTATGAGCTGCTTGGACGATGCATGATGAAAACATACATATGCTTTGGACTCTGAATGCACCTCCGAATCTGTAAGGGTTAAGGTATCGCATTATGGCATGAATTTGGCTTCGTCACGCTGCTGTATCACATAGCTCCTTGTACTTCAGCCATTCGACACGCATAGTTAGACAACGTGGCGAAACGGACCTACGCGTTCGCCAAAACCTGCTTTACAGTTTAACGCGAAGATGACTATGCAGCCCACGGCCACTCAATGGAACGTATAACTGTAAACAGGTGATCAAAGAGACTAGAAGTGGTCGATGCGCTTCAGATGCAATGCGCGTGGTTATGGCCGGGTGCGTATTGCCACGTAGCGCCATTTAGTGAATCAATGTTACCGTCCGGCCAGGGGTCGGTACTGGCAGTTAGTCTGACACTTTTGTCGTGAGCTGTCCTGTAAAATGCCTGAAGCCGATCTCTGAGCTACTTTGACACGTAATAACATCAAGTGTTCGCTAGTCTGTGAGTATTCGCCCGCAGCTTTTGGAGAAGCACTCCAGGCACAGGCCAGAAAATCCTCACATCAAGGATTTTAGCTGGCGAAGAGTACATAGTCTGACCTTTTGGGAAGTCACCAGTCATCTATCTGTTGTCATTTCTTACGACAGCTGTCCAAAAAGGATTTTCCGCAAGTATTTGTTGAATGACAAGGAAACAGAACACACTGTAGCTGGAGATCTGTGGCGCCCATCTTCAAGTACTTTAGTGACCTGTTTCAGGCCGCACCATCCGACTCTCACGGCTCACTTCTGACACCAGCAATGCAGCCCTCTCGGTGGAGAACCCGCCTTCTGCTGCTGCTCGTACTGAGTATGACCTGTCCCCCCTCTTACGGCACCATGTACAAAGCTGCTCTTCACCGGGGTCATCCGTACAGTACTTTGAAGAAGGTGGCCAATATGAGAGCCACGCAGTGTGCCGTGCTGTGCCACAAGAACAGCGCCTGCATACAATGGAGGGTGGTCGATGCCAACGGCCTCTGCAAGCTTTGGCCGGCGCCTAGCGATCAATATCCACTCTCATCAAGGAAGCACGACTTGTACGAGGTAGTTGGCGGCTCCACGTCGTCCACAGCGTCCACCGGGGTCTCAACATCTGTCGTTAGCTCTTCCACATCTACTTCAGGCTCTTCTTCATCTCCTTCTAGCTCTTCGTCATCTTCATCCAGCTCTTCGTCCAGTTCTTCTTCATCCTTTTATGGATATTCTTCGGTTTCCGTGGGCAATGCTGTAACTGTCACAAATCCACCTTGCGTCGCAGCTGCACCTACAACTGTGCCTCCAGCAGCTACTACGAACCTCACAACGCCTTCTACCAGCCTCACCACATTTGCCAGCGATACCTCGATTCTTTCCGGGAACCTTACGACCCCCAGTACCAACCTAACGACACCGTCTACTGACCTTACATCTCCCAATAATTTCACGTCACCTGCCATGAGCATCGAGACACTCACCATCTGTCCCACGGCATCCCCTGACCTGACTACATCGCCTACTACTGGCTCCACAACACCTCCGACCACAGAACCTAGTACACATTCCGCTCCAACCACACAGACTACGCCTCCCCCTCCAACCACGCAAGCCACGTCGAGCGCTCCAACCACGCAACCTACAACTCCCCCTCCAACCACTCAAACTACGTCAAGCCCTTCAACCACGAAACCTACAACTACGAAGCTTACAACTCACTCTCCAACCACGCCACCTCCTTCTCCAACCACGAAAGCTACAACTGCTCCTCCAACCACTCCTGCGCCCATCTTCCCGTCTGGTTTCATCCCCATCAGCAACCCGCACATCGCCTACAAGGCCAAACCCCAGCAGCTGTACGGATCCAAAATCGCCATCATCAGCATGTGTCTCTCGCTGCACGTCAACTCCACTCCGGCCTTCCCGCTGACCAGCCAGGAAGCAGACGACATCAACACCCTCTCCGACGGCAAGTACTACTTCATCGGCGCTTGGAGGGCGTTCGGCGACACCAAGTTCACCGACATGAGCAGCGGCAGGCGGGCCTCCATTCACGGGGCGAGGTTCTGGAATGAGACCGCTTCGCTGTACCCGGGAGAGAGCTGCCTGCTGTCCGGATACAAGTCGTTCATCATTCTGCCGTGTGTAGGATGGTGGATGGATGGAGTGATCTGCCAGATGGAGCGGCCGATCGATGATACCATTGGCAAGTGAAGGTCTTAAATCATACCTCGCTGATACCCAGTGGCGAGAGACGAGCCACTTTGGTTTCCATCCCATGGCACTGGGTAACAGAGTAGGTAATTAAAAACTCGCACTAACAAGCACAAGCGCCTTGTTTAGAGCACGTCCGCGACACAATGCGCTGTTAGACAGACAATAGCAACAGTTTTTGGTGATGTTTTCGGAGAGTGTTACATGTTGAAGACAACGGCTGCACTACCCTAATATCATTTTTGTTTCAACACTGCTTGAAATGCTTCGGGCATCTTGCTCTTGTTTTTGCCTGCACACATGACACAGAGAACAGACATCATTTCACAAACAAGGTTTACCTCAGACACACCAGCACAATGAATTAGGCATTTCCTTTGAGCGTTTTAATTAAATTATTTTACTTTTCAATTATTACTTAATGTTCAAGTTAGGAATTCAATAACAATTGTATCCGTATAATGATGAAGGAAAACCGAAGCCTCATAATAATGAATGTATTCTAAATTATGACCGAGAAAAAAGAGAACAGTTTCGGGCATAGCCCATCATCAGATCTCCTAAAAGATACATTTTGAAAATTGTGATCTCGCCTTTTAACACATCCTGACACAATTGTAATCCTATTTATGGCCAGGGCATTGTATGCTGCAATTATAATCCTATAATTTGACTTTAGAATGCACTTGCACACGAACAATAAAGAGCGACAGTGTAATTCGCTCTCTTTCACTGCCAAACTTTCTCTCTCTCCCTCCCTCTCTCTCTCTCTCTCTATCTCTCCCTCTCTTCTCTCTTTCTTCCTCTCTCCCCCTCTCTCGTTGACTCACCCGCTCTCTGAATCGTTTGATCGTTATGCGTGAAATAAATGGCACATCAGCATGACGCATTGTGTTTCTTTTCAATAATGTGTTCAAAACAAAATTGTGTTTTTATTTTTTTCTAACCATGGTCCGAGACATCAACGAATCAAGGTATGCTGGTCAAGACACCGCAAATTTGCATGACTTTTGGCCGATTTGCAGGACACCATGGATGGGATAACAAGAATCACTCGCACGTAAAGTCCATGCCCGCTATAGCGAAAGAGCATTAATTGCCAAAAAAAAAAAAACTACTGCGTCATTGCGTTAGCAGAGGCTGATAAAGGGGTATCAGAATAGCCGCCATCTTAAGTGGTACGATGTAGCTATCGTATGGGAAAGTAGCAAAATGCCTTGAAACGCCAGTTGACGGCAACGCCGCATCATTGCTCAAAACGGTGGAATTTGAATACAGGGCGCCTGGGGCGATTTGATTAAGGATCTTGAAACTGTCACGTGACAATTGACCTGTTAGAGGCATTGAAAGGGAGAGGACTTTTCAGTAATCACGTGACTAAATGTCCTCCGGCGCCCTGTTTTCAGATTCCACCCTCAAAACGTGTATATACCCGCGGCTGACCTTTAGAGCCACGCCGGCCGGCCCTGGCGCGCGGTGTCCCGACCTGATCTCGCCGGAGGGACCGTGACGTCACCGGCGGGCGCTGCGAGCGAGACGGCTGAGGAGGCCCGGGCTCACTCCACGCAGCTCGAGCGAGCCACGGTATATAGAGAACTAGGTAAAACCGGTTCGAAATTACAACACTAAGGTATTTTGACCACTATTTTCAGTCTAAAAAAGAGAACCAAGCAACAAATTTCGATGAGTTTTATGATTTGTATATATATTTTTGATTTATGATCACAGAGCAACGTCATGTATGAACCTGTGAAGCATTAACAAAAATAAATTGTTGGCTATCTCCGCCATTTCAAAAATTATATATCTTAAAACGCAAAGCTTGCTCATGGACAAAATTAATTTTTCACAATCAAAAATTAAAATTGAAGGAGAAAAAGTAATATCAAAGGCCGACACTCTTTCATTCAATTTCGAAATTATCATGGTTCTGAGCTGTTCAGCCTACCGGACCTGCCAATGCTCTACCCTGAATTGTCGAGTAATTTCAGTGATGTGGGGATTCAATCAAGGTCAATAAATATCAAAATTAAATTTTCTTTCAGATTTTGTCAGTTTTGTTGCTTTTTAAGCGTTGGAAACTGCATTTAGTTGATCTTGAATGCACCACCGCCATTGGTGTCTTTGGTCACCCTGTTCCACTAAATGTAATATTTTTACAAAACTAGACTATGTCGGTGTCTAAAACATTTACCAAAATTTACAAAATTGTTAACGCTACTACCTATAAAAATGTTGAAGCGCTATGATCTTGGGAAATTTTAGAAATGTATTTACGAATCTCGAACTTATATTTTTTGGAACCGATTACTCCTGAGCAAAAACATCTATATTTGGTAAACTTGTTAGGCATATGCTCTTAAAACGTCTATATCAAAATGGAAATTCAATTTTCTTTTAAAGTCCGCATATCTCATTGCAGTTTCGAAGATGTAAGGTATATTTTTTTGGTCTAGAATGAATGATCTTCCATTCTGCTGAAGGTAACACTATGACAATTAATGGAATATTACCAAAAAACAAGACAATGTCGGTGTCTAATTCAAGCTTAATAATCAACATAAAAGAATTCTCTATCTTTTGGTATGAGTTATAAAACAAGATGAAGTTGGGAAATTTACGAATTTCGGTATTGAAAACCGCAGACCACCCTCAGTTGTGCTTTGTCCACTGTACTGTAAATACTGCTAATATACCTCTGTCGCTAGCAGACGCATGTCTTTGCATTCGATTGGTTGAACGGCATTTCGTTTGCTGATGGAGAACACCTTTGTTTTAATTTGTATTTTGTCATCGGTTATGTTATTTGTTTTGTCTGTTACACTGAAGTCTATTATCGGGGTTACATGAGCACAGTAAATACGTATTTAGCCGCTAATTCGAATTAGGAACGCATTACCGACTCATGTAGCCACCTGCTAGTACGAATCGGCAATCCGATCCGCGGTTACATGAGCAAAGCAAATACGTATCACGATCGGATTCACCGCTAATGCGAATCAGGAGCGTACTACCGACTCATGTATCCACCTGCTAATACGAATCGGCGGTCGGAACAAAATCCGCTGGGAAAGAGGCTTAGAAGCGAATAGGACCAAAGACGCGTTTACATAGGGTTTGTTGCAAGCTTATATCTCCGTCCGTGATGTTGCAAAAGATGTCAATGGTGCTTAACAATTTACAAAATGATCCCCTCTAAATATTTGAAGACCACTGCATCGAAATTATCGCCAAATTAACGAGCTAGAGCCTCGTCAAATATGCTATGTAAACCGGGTTCAAGATACGTATCACAGGAACTATTTCTTCGCAAAGAGAAACATTAAAATGCAAAATAATTGGTATTTTTTTCATTTTCTTCTTTTGAAATAATTTTTAAAAAATATGTCGGTATTTTGTCAAGTTTTCAACAATAAATATAGTGAAAACCAAATAGTAAATATCCACATAATTTCAGTTTAAACATTTTTCTGACAGCACTACAGACAAATCAAGAGAGGCAATTGCCCAATGAGTCAAAACAAGACAACTTTATGTTCAACTTTTTTTTTTTAAGTTAATTGAGAATGTTTTGAGCAGATTAAATGCAAAAAAGACATAAGATAATAAATTTTTAATTTAGTCACCTCTATTGCTACGGAAGTGCGCCACATTTGTATGCTATTCCGTTTGTAATGCGCATCGGGCCGAGAGCCAAACTAGATCCGTTTGACGTCACTGATACGAATTTGCTCATGTAGTCGGTGCACTGAATGCGTTCTTGGGGAGCTGATGCGAATTAGCGTAGTGCGTATTTGGAATGTAACGGAAGTTAGCAGGGATTCAGCAGGGGTTCAGCAGGGATTCAGCAGGGATCGACGGCCCCTACGATTTCGCTGAATTTTGGTGGAGAGGTGCAGAATGGTGTCCTCTATCGAAAATCCTTGTGCCAAAATGCGGGGAATCCATCAGGGGGGCCACAAATCCCAAAAAACAGTATGCCCTCAGGGCACAATCGACGAACTTTGAAAACCATACTTCTAGCCGTCAAAACAGCTAAAAATGCACGTCATTCGAAAGAGGACAAAATTTTACATGCAACGGTACCAAATTTAGGGGGCTAGCGCCCCCCTGAACCGAACAATACAGCTTCAAATATATGGGCCCGGGAGTATGCCCTCGGGGCATAAATAAACGTTTTCAACAATTTCAGGCCTATAACATCGACAAAATCCAGCAATATGCACATCATTGGAAAGAGCGTAATTTCCCAAACAAAAAACCCAAGTAACATTTTTCGATGGGGCCCACCTGGGGCCCACGGGACCCAATTGAAATTTGGGGCCCAATGGGGCGGCCCCTACGATTTTCTTCAAAATTTGCACAGACACTCTCCTGGGCCCCCTCTTCAATCTGGCTGAAGAAACCTACCGGGGAATCCAAAGGAAGGGGCCCAAAGAGGGCCCCAAAGAAACCCCTTCTAAGTATTGCCCCTAATTTCGCGACCAACCCCGGCAATATGCACATCATTGGAAAGAGCGTAATTTCCCAAACAAAAAACCCAAGTAACATTTTTCGATGGGGCCCACCTGGGGCCCACGGGACCCAATTGAAATTTGGGGCCCAATGGGGCGGCCCCTACGATTTTCTTCAAAATTTGCACAGACACTCTCCTGGGCCCCCTCTTCAATCTGGCTGAAGAAACCTACCGGGGAATCCAAAGGAAGGGGCCCAAAGAGGGCCCCAAAGAGGCCCTTTCTAAGTATTGCCCCTAATTTCGCGACCAACCCCGGCAATATGCACATCATTGGAAAGACCGTAATTTCCCAAACAAAAAACCCAAGTAACATTTTTCGATGGGGCCCACCTGGGGCCCACGGGACCCAATTGAAATTTGGGGCCCAATGGGGCGGCCCCTACGATTTTCTTCAAAATTTGCACAGACACTCTCCTGGGCCCCCTCTTCAATCTGGCTGAAGAAACCTACCGGGGAATCCAAAGGAAGGGGCCCAAAGAGGGCCCCAAAGAGGCCCTTTCTAAGTATTGCCCCTAATTTCGCGACCAACCCCGGCAATATGCATATCATTGGAAAGAGCGTAATTTCCCAAACAAAAAACCCAAGTAACATTTTTCGATGGGGCCCACCTGGGGCCCACGGGACCCAATTGAAATTTGGGGCCCAATGGGGCGGCCCCTACGATTTTCTTCAAAATTTGCACAGACACTCTCCTGGGCCCCCTCTTCAATCTGGCTGAAGAAACCTACCGGGGAATCCAAAGGAAGGGGCCCAAAGAGGGCCCCAAAGAGGCCCTTTCTAAGTATTGCCCCTAACTTTGCGACCAACCCCGGCAATATGCACATCATTGGAAAGAGCGTAATTTCCCAAACAAAAAACCCAAGTAACATTTTTCGATGGGGCCCACCTGGGGCCCACGGGACCCAATTGATATTTGGGGCCCAACGGGGCGGCCCCTACGATTTTCTTCAAAATTTGCACAGACACTCTCCTGGGCACCCTCTTCAATCTGGCTGAAGAAACCTACCGGGGAATCCAAAGGAAGGGGCCCAAAGAGGGCCCCAAAGAGGCCCTTTCTAAATATTGCCCCTAATTTCGCGACCAACCCCGGCAATATGCACATCATTGGAAAGAGCGTAACTTCCCAAACAAAAAACCCAAGTAACATTTTTCGATGGGGCCCACCTGGGGCCCACGGGACCCAATTGAAATTTGGGGCCCAATGGGGCGGCCCCTACGATTTTCTTCAAAATTTGCACAGACACTCTCCTG